TTTTAATATTTTAAGAAAAATTAATTTAAATGTCAAATTATCCTATTACAACAAGTTTAGCTTTCCAATATTTGATCAATTTTTAGCTTAGCAAATCTTTTACTGATCTTTCTCTTAACTAATTATTGTAAAAAAGTGACATCTCTCATTAATATTGTAAATAAAATTATAATTAAATAATGGTTATCTTTTATACTAACTATTAATGTCACCCGTTGTATCAATTGTGAAGATTTTTTCGTCTGGTAAATCATAAATTCTCCGTCTAAAACAAAAAAAAAAAATATTAAATGTATGCCTGTTATTTATTTATTTATTTATTTATTTTAACAAAATACAAACCCAAATGTTCTTTCTTCAGCCCTTATTCCTTCTAATGTTTTTTCTAAGTCCGTAATATTAACATTTTTTCTCCAAGCTTTCTTTCCCTTACGACTTGATTGTGATTTTCTTGTTGGTTTGGTAGAAATTATTGAAGTCATACTGGAGCGAATTATTTCAAAAAAAAAAAAAAATATAATAATTTTGACGATCACATTAAGTATTTTTTGGGACGATGATCTCCTGCGGCGAAATTTTGCCGTTGAAAAGCTGTTTTAGATTCATGTTTAATCTTTTCAGAGAAGATTTTGACAATTGCTATCTAAAATATTATTTATATTGGGAAGCTAAACTTGTTGTAATAGGATAATTTGACATTTAAATTAATTTTTCTTAAAATATTAAAATTGCACTTAAGGAAAAATTATTATTTCTTGATGAATTAACAAAAAAAAAAAATTATATTGGATGAGTTTTTGATCAATATAATTTCAATATACTGTAAATACAACATCCTTAATATATTTCTCTTTATAATTATCATAAATTTGCAATATAATGATCTTATCATTTTAGCATTGACTAATAATAAAGTATTATCAAAAAAGTTTAATAATTAAACTTATATAGTAATTATTCAATATTATAATTATATTAATTATATTATTTATTGAATTCTTTATCAAAAATCAGAAATAATATTAATAGAATTCAAATAGTTAATATTATTAAATTTTTAAATAAATATTTATTATTTATATTATAATATATTATTAATTACTAGTTGATAATTTATAAGAGAAAAATCTATTATTTAAAAAAATTATACTTCTATGATTTTTTAAAACTACTTTTCTTAAATAATATATAAAATAAATCAATAACTAATATAAATAGATACTTTAATTTAAAAAGGTCAAAATAAAGACAAAGTGATTAAATTAAAATAATATACTATTTATCTACTTATTAAATTAGCAATTATCAAATAATTATAATAAAAAATTAGTATTTTAAGTAATCACTTTAGTAATTTAATATATATAATTTAATTCTCAAAGAAAAATTATAAAATTATATACAGTGACTACCAAAAGAAATGCAAGTAGTCATCTTTTAGGTTTAAAAGCCTATAACTTATTAATTATAAATGCTAGAGTTATAATTTTATATATTTTTTAATCCTTAAGTTTTGAAGATTATTTTATATTAGAAAAATTTTTTAATTAAGAATATCAATTTTGTATAAATTATTGATTTATATCAAAATCTGTACTTAACAAAATTTTGCTAATAGAAAAAATTTTAAATAGTATAGGTAAAATGATACTCTTCACATATATGCTAACCCTACTTATGTTGTATAAGTAGGGTTAGCATATATGTAAAGGGC